AGTGGCCCTGTGCTGTTTGTGTGTGCCCTGACGACCACCTACTGCATGGGAACACAGGCGCACACAAGCACCACTATCAATCACTATCAGAGGTGGAGAGAGGGAGAGAGAGGGGTGAGGAAACAGTGAGGGAGGGAGGGAGGGAGGGAGGGAAGGAGAGGGAAAGAGAGATATAGAGAGAGCCCCGCTATCATGGAGGAGTAATTAAAGAGGCCGAATCTGGAGGCGAGACGCTGCGTTGTTATCACTGGCATCTCGGATCTCTTTGATTTCTCCACTTCACTTCTTCATGAACCGCAATCTCTTCCTGACAATAGTAATGTGTCCAGAAGACAAGGCACACACACACACACACACACACACACACACACACACACACACACACAGGCTCTCCCATGATTCCGCTTGCCCTACTTTTTCTCCCCACTTAAAGCTAGTTCCTTTAATTTTCTACAGGATATTCCTATGAGATAGTACACACAGGCAGCTAATCCCAACTAATTTGGTGGTGTTTGAAAAAATTCTGGCATGAGGAACTGAGAAAATGTGGTTGAGTGAGACAAAGCAGAGCAGGCCAGAGAATGGAGAGGGGGGGGGGGGGTTGTGTGGCATGCCAGAAAGATGGACAGGGGAAGTGTAAGAGGACAGAATATGACAAATAAATAGCTGTGTGTGAGTGCATATTTTATTCTTTTTTTTTTTAAAGAATTCCCTGCTCCCTTGCTATGTGATGAACGGTAGGCGTGAGACCTGAAGGTTGCACTTTGCCTTGGACTACTCTCCGTCATGCTGTCCTATTTTTAATTTCATGGCATTTCTGTTCGAGTTGCCTCAGGCTGGAGCCATACATGGGCATTATACAACATTCTCAGTGTGCCATTTCTTTGAATTATATTTGTCTTGTTGTGGCATTCACATTTCACTGTGAAATTAAGTGTGTTTCAATGGCTGCACCCTTAGACTACATAATGGCATGCATTACTGTTCTCCCCCACATCTGACTACATTGTCAGGAGCCAAAGGGGAAAAAAAAAAAAAGTATGGCAATGCTCCAAACAGTTCCTTTTCCCCCTGCAATTGTATTCTTACTCAAAGGTTACAATCAGCAGGCATAAACATTGAGGAGAACACTGTGAAATGCATTACTCCATAAAGTGTCGGCACAACAAAAATAACCCCATCTGAATAAACAGTAAATATTTTTATGATTCCAGATGTTATTACCGAGCCTGGAAACGTGAATTTCAGAATATTGCCCCTATTGTGTGCAGCATTTCTGCTTGTGCTTGCTTTGCACTTACACTTNGTGTTGGCTCGGGTTCGAGTTTGGGGGGGGGGGGGGGGGGGGTGTTGATGATGACACAGAAGCAGTTGCTAACTCAGCCGTCACTCTCTATGCTAATTTCATCCATTTTGTTTTTAATGAACTGATTACCGTGTGAGCGAACAGGGGGTAATTATTCTAATTGAGGAGAGTGACAGGAGCAAGGCAGGGGGTGAGGAAGAGGGGTGCTACAAGTGAGCTGGATGGATGAGGTGTGTGTGTGTGTGTGTGTGTGTGTGTGTNCCGGTCTGTGTGCGTGCAGTCTTGTCAGCACATGTGTGTGTATGCAGTATGCGCTCAGCTTGCTGTCCCTCTGTCTCTTACTCTGTCAGTAATTTGACATGTTACACACACACACCCACTGCTGTGTTTGAGTGCCTGCACATGTGTATGTGTGTGTGAGCATGTCTGTGTGTTGTGTGTTTTTTTTGTTTTTTTGTTTTTTG